TGATTGAGTGATAACAAATCAGAGTGCAGCAAAAATAGGGTTGATCTTCCTGACGTGACTTGTTTTGTCACATTGTTGCCGTTGCGTGCAATGGGCAAATTATTGCTACTCTAGTTAATTTTTTTTTTGATTTGGAGGCTCTGCACCTTTGAAAGACTTCGCAACATATTGCAGACTTCCGTTTTTATCACTGTCTTTGTATGGCTAACAAAAGCGGGATTACCTAAATCGATCAATACATGTTATTGTTTCAAATACGTGCAAGACGAGACTGACACTTGTAAACAAAAACATAAGCATCACGGGCGAGTGACCAAGCGTCACGGACAAAGGGCAAGCATCACGACCGAATGTCCAAGCGTCACAGTACCGTGTTGCTTCAGAGGCCTGGGGAGAACACTGGCCATGATTTGAAACATCACGCGTTCCGTAATGCATACATCGACTGACAAATATGACACGGAACTAAACTAATTCAAGTTGATGATGGCCCACAAGTAAAGGCAGCAGTCCACTGGATATTGAACACAAAACCAGATTGTTGTTAAACGGTTACGAAGAAAATCCACCTACTTGTCTGTTTGCATTGCGTCGGTCTATTGACGGTACTGATCTCGTATACAGTAAAACTGAGAACGAACCTTCCTGTGCACATTCCTTATACATATACTCCTCCAGACTGCTAATATAACAAATGGGAAAATAACTCTGATCAAGGACTTCGGTTTTCATAATTCCAGCGCATATCGGTAAACAAAACGTGAATTTACTATTGCCCTCAAATTTCTATATATATCTGCAAATTGGTAGCACAGAAACAGTTTACTGTATATTATAAGTATAGAAGTTATTACACAGAAATTCCGCGTAATAAAATAACAAAATCATAAGTAATAAAAAGGCGCCGCGACATCACAGGCTTATCTTGTAACCTGCTTATGCCACTCGTCTGGAAAATCAAAATGTACAGCCTTGTCTTCCGTGAAGCCTTGTCCGTGTGTGCAAGGGTGGTACCGGCTTGTATCTCGTGTAAGATTTGAGTTCTTGTGGTCTGGCGGATGAACGTGGGGTTGACTTTACAGTCAAAATCAAATGAGTGGTGAGAAAGAAGAGCGTTCTGTCAAAACAATGTTACCGTAGACTTAATTTTAACGCCCATTCTACAGCACTGTAATTATTACAAAACCGACGTTTCAATATATGGCGCGACTACGACTACTAGTTATGCTAGTCAAAACAAATGGACACTTCTTATTGAGTCGTTTGCAAACTTTTATCGATTGTGCACACTAGTTGAAAAATCGTCGCTAACTTTCTTTACAGGCCGCTTGTACTGATGTCTATGAATTTCATGCTGGCTTACGAAACACAGGGCCTATTGTTTCCTGCCAAGTAAAAACAACTAAAATTAAATTGAATTAAAAAAACTCATACAGATCTTATTTTATTTCGGGCTTTCGATTGTGTTTTATTATCATTGCACATTATGTTACATATATATTAAAATAAACTACATTACATGTATGTATAACTTACTCAAATTTATTGTAATTCTAGGTAGCATATAGTTAGTTACGAGTCTAGCCTAAACTCTCTCTATCCACTGACTGGTCTTTGGTTACAAACATCGCTTTCCCGATCGTCTTCTGGGTGATGTAGGCCAGGAGTGAGTGTTGCTTTGACTTGGGTATCGTGTTTTACATTCCAACAATACATTTTCGCGCTTTTGGACTCACCGCAAAATTAAAACCACACGAATAAATTCTTCTTCTACAGTTATTGCAATGGATATCTGAAAGCCCTTAACCTAATGTTATTGACATTGTTCACTGTCTTACATTGTCATGTCTCAGTGTTACCGATGGTTAGACATAGACAAACTACGTAACGATAATGCTGTTTGTAAACCAGCAAGCTTTGTAGATTGAATAAACATCTAGGGGATTTACATTTTCGTTTACTCAAACTGTGATTGACAGGCATTTTGCATACATTAGCCGCCATTTAAACTCGTGATTTTTACTTGTCGCGGCACGTTTCGACCGAAAACAACATTTATACACCAAAAGCCCAACCAGATGAGTGTAATCGCTAGCGTACATATTCATGCCCCCGTAGATATGTATTTGGAACCACAGACTTTGCTAATCTAAACAATCAATTACAATTTATATTGATAATGAAAAACACCAAGCTGTTTACTCGTTTCACTGGCTAAATTCATAAAAACTATTATGTTATTGAAACAGCAACACATAGCAATTCAAGTTGAACTTTTTGTTTTGTTATTTTCAATAGTAGATATGATTTCCTTTTATTTTTGTATTTTAGACATTACCAGGGTATTTGTTTTTGTTGCCATATAAGGTTAAGTTTGTCGTTTTTGATTAGCCAGTGTCTTTGTATGTAGTTTGTTTTGTATTAGTTTTTACCTTGCCCGTAC